TCTAAAGTAAATAATTTCACATCAGCGCTAGCATATTTATAAATTAATTATGCTAGGGATATTCTAGTATTTTATATTTATTGTTGGAATAACTTAGCAACGCAAACACATATGATTTTTCAGACAATTTTCTTAACATAGCTGTTCAGTAAAATCCTTATATTCAAACCCATAACAATTAGATGAGATCATCTGAGCTATTCACATTAACTTTCGGAATATTATAAACGGTTCATACATAAATCTCTTCTTTTTTAATCAGCTATATGGTTTTATAGAGCCTTACTGTAATATCTCAATGATTAAGGGCCTAAATCTATACACTTCTATTCATTTAAATGCGAAACCTTATTATTCATAGTTAAATTTATTCAAATTGTGTCCTTAATCTAAAAGCGTTATCATCATTAGGCCTACCTATTTCTCAAACTCTAATAATTCAGCGTAAAATTAGGATATAAGTTTCCTTAGAATTAATGACAGCTTTTTGTTGCATTTTTCCCATCTGCTAAAGTTAATATTAAAATACATAACTTATTGTATGTTGTATACTCACAGTAATTATGCCTTTACATCGATTCAGAGTGCAAAATCTCCATAGAAAAATTGTTACAAGTGAGTTTGTAGTCATATGCTTGGATCAACCTTGAATTTTGTGCGAAAATAGTGGCAAACACACATATCTAGAAATAGAACAAATAGAGAGAGAGAGATACAGGGACAAAACTCTTCATTTAAATTACAGACTTTGTAGGAGCATAAATTTGGCGATCAATGCTAAAGTAAACAAGTTATATTTGGAAATGAAGATAAAAGATATCTATAATATATGTTTCCTTACTACTTCTTACTAAATTACGGAATGCATATTTCATTCTTTATTCCATGGTTACTTAAGCAACCAAATACTACAGTTGATAATTTCCTTAGGACCATGGTGGTAAGATATTTCAGTTTGATACAAATTCCAAGATGTAATAATGTACCAAGTTCACGGTCCGACTCTGGAAATCATCCTGCATACTATGGACTCCGGACAAGGTGCGTTCCTCTAGGTCTTCCTCACAATATGCCCAAGTTGCGAAAACAAGGTAAAACAACGTCTGTAATAGAGTATATTGATTATTAAAAAGGACTTAATACCTTTATCATTATTTACTTCCTTATCATTTCCAAGCATAGATTCTTAAAAATAGCGCAATCAATTTATAGAAAATTTAACTGATATTATTTATTCTTCTCGTTTACTTTTGGTCTATTTAAAGAGGCAAATACCATTCTACCTGTCAACTGGGTTAAAATTCAACATTCTGCAGGAGAATTACGGCTCTGGCAAATTTATGGGATACCTTTACTTGATCATGTTCGGGAGGAGCCCTACAACTTTGAGTGGGTGTAATTTATCATTTTTTTAGTTTAACCTGAAATTTCAGAACTAAGCATTGCTATATTATTTACTTTGATATTATTCAGGTTAATAATGCTTATACTGATATATAATCAGCAAAATAATATAAGCCATTATGGAATTGTGTTTCTTTTAAAAAACTGGATCCAAAAGTCTATTTTTACCTTGCATGCAGTTTCATATTAATTCTGCAGCATTGGTGTATGATAAATCTTCAACCTATGCGGCACCGAGGGACATTTGTAATGTGACCAGATATACATAATCAAGCTTCAAAAATGGAATCAAGCAAAGACTAAATTTAATTTTAATAATCATACTTAATTTGATGTTAGAAATACCAGTTGTCTGCTTAAGATTATAGAAGTATCATTTGCACCAATTTTTTAAGAATAACTAATTGATATTATTACTTTATGAGAGGCCGTTTTTTTGCCGAGTTGCTATGGTTCCACATTTTGTCTTCATGTTATATGAGCTGAAATTTTAATTTTGTTAAGATATGTTAGTCATGAAATTGAACTATCAGATAGCAATATAAGATGTATTCACCCTATTTCGTTTAAGGTGATGATTGACTGGTTGTAGAATTTTGCCGCAATGATATGAGTAGAGCTAACGTTTCCATTGAATTTCGCACAGCTCTGCTTTGCCAAAAGTTGGATGATAACAACCTTTGGAAAAGCAAGTCTATAAGAAATTCAATAAGAACAACAGCTCTACTCATATAATTGTTAAAAAATTTTAATACCAGTCCTTCATCACCTTGAACGAAATAAGGGTGAATACGTCTCATAGTACCGATTTACTTATAATCATACAACTCTACTTACGTACGAAGTATATGAAATACGAGCTTGTCGGCCCAATTATCTTAAAATGAAACACGTATTCTTAGTGTCACATAAATTGCTATTAGACTAAACTGACATATGAGATATACATTTACTCCTTATTTCGATGGTTAAATTAAAATAGGTACCTTCTTATAGAGTTTGTGCATATAAAAAGAGATTGCATACCGTTTTTGTGCGAACATATTTTTAAAGTCAATTATTTCTACAGCTAATTGACCTTAATTCTAATGAAGCATATTATTTCGTCACGAATGACATTTTGCCTTTTTTCTTTTATCAACAAGAATTAAATTCTATTAAGGAAATTATATGTCCTGAATTGTGGTATATTTATATATTTTTTTAAATTATTTCGGAAAATCCTTTCTCTACTCGATACACTATGCACTTTTGATTTCTGATTATTAGGAGATTTAATGAACCTAGCTTAGATGCTTATGACCTTTATAAATTTCCTAGTTCTCAGTGCGTATAAAATTACGAATGCCTAATTAATAGAACATAGCTAGATTTATTATGCGTATCCTGACGTTATTTTAAATTTACCTTCAAAGAAAGCCTTAAATTTAAATTAATGTCAGCCTTTTCAAAGGCCAGAGATAAACTAGTTTTCCTACCTTGGGACTATAGCAACAGCTTAGGCTATTTTTCATTTTAATTACGCTATCATCCAATAGAAAGTAAACATGTGTTTCCTCTATATACATTACTTAATTAATTTTCAAATATTTTTCTTTCTTATTTGTATCCTATTTTTTTCTACAAAGCCTATCCATATATCTGCGAAACATGCCGCATATCGTCCAGTCGTTCAGTATCCGAGTCCATCTTCCCATTTGGGCGGCCAGTTCAACTCGAAGCCCTTCTTCGGTGACGGGCATCACCACAGGACTGGGTCCTGCTCGTGGTGTCCGCATTACTGATCGTCTTAACCATCGAGTAGACCTTCGTCTACGCTGGAAGCTGGGCGTGAACTTAACAGACGGCCTGGTGCACGACGTAACTACACGCTGGCAAGTAGTACGTGCCTTCGATCGATTCCTCAGACCTGCATGTGCACGAAGTTCGGTCATATCGCCGCCACAACCCAGTGACAGGAGTACTGATGGGCAAAGTGAAAAACGAGTCGGGAGCGTCTTGCGTGGCATAGTCAAACAACCAACTGATCCTGACAAAGAGCTTCAGCTATTGCTGATTAATGGTGGCGAAATGCAGTTTAATCTGCCAGAAACATTAAATGAGGAATATTTGGAAACATCTGTGGCTCAACGCATCGGAATGGGCAAATTGGGACACTATGTGATAGACACATGTGGATTAAATATCGGTGTACTCAGGGTCATCAGAGATACAGGTCTGTAATAGCACTAAATAATTTCTAAATTAAAGAATTTTGTGATAATTTTCCAGATTAAAATAATATAGGAAAAGGTTGTATATTGATAATTATGAGAACTCTTATAAGCTTGCAACTTTTCTTGATGAGTGAACTTGTTGAAAATTAATTTTACTGCACGTGCATTTAACGCACATGAACACAGTAATATGAAAATTACATTTTGAAAATGAAAATAATTAAGGAATACACTATTTCAATAAGGCTATAAGTATTTTTTTATTTCAGCCATAGCATTAGTAAGTTGGTTTTAGGCATTTTATCTTACTTATTTTTTGTTTATAAGTGGATTTTCGAAACTACTCTTAAACTAAGATAATTGTAGGAAAATTCAACTGCCTGTCCTTCATCACTTTGACGAAATAGAGTAAATATATTTCATATGTTGTCACTGACTCTTTTTTCTTAAAGCTTTTAATGTAATTTTTAAAAGAAGAATTTTTTCCTATGACAAACTTCTGATTCCACATCACTTGCACCAAATAACTTCTACCAACTCGGGTTAGAGGCCAAGAATTTCAAACCTGGAGGCAGGCAAAATATTGCTTAATAACATATAAGCTTGGTTTATTTGTAACATGATTTCCTCCATACGAGTCTTTTATTGAGTTTAATCTATTATGTCATTTTCAACTACCATTACTGGCAAAACCTAGTAAAAAAAGTCTAAAGAATTGCCTCTCAAGCGCTTTTCTATCGTTAAAAGTGGTCCGTCTATCCAAAAGAATGACTAGAAGGCTATCACAGGACCTAGTTGATTGTCATTAATAGCAGCTTCAAGACATTTCGATACTATGTTATCTTTATATCTAATTAACATATCGGGCCTATAT